TTGCACCAGGAGAGGCTTCCCACAGGAGCAAGCAGGGACTCTCCCCCATCTCCAGGGGCCCTTATCCAATTCGGATCAATCTGCACTGCAAGCTGTGCTAATTAATTAGCAGAAGCAGCTTGAGTGGCTTCATTACTCCCTCCTGCCCCACCAGCAGAGCCCAGACCCTGGTGTAGGAAGGGGGCGGCTTTGGCCTCGCCAGCTCCGCATCCAAGAGGTGCGTTTGGTGGTGGGGAAGCAGGGCGCRTCCCCAGCCCTGGAGCCGGGTGGGAGCCCGCGGCAGGAGCAGCGCTCGCTCCTTACCCAGGGTGAGCTCCTGACCCGAGGGAGAGCAAGGAGCGGGCGCCACGCGAGCCCCCCGGGAGCCCCGTCCCTCGCCCCCGTGTGCACTGCAGCCCCTCGTCCTGCTCGGGGGGTCCCGGGGTTTGGGAGCTGCCGTCGGAGAAGGGGGGGATGAAAAATTCATCACCTGGCGGAGCGGCGCTGCTCCCCCTCCCCTTCCTCCTCCTCTTCCTCCTCCTCCTCCTCCTCCCGCGCTCGCCGCGGCGCTGGCTCCGTCTCACTTTCCGTGCCATGGGGCCGGGCGCCGGGCGCTGACGGCGGGGACGGCGCCGGGAGCCGCCAGGTACCCACGGGGGGGGTCCCCTCAGCCCCACGGGGGGGTCCCCTCAGCCCCACGGGGGACGCGGGGCCGCTCGGCTCGCGGCGGGGAGCGGGCGCCGCGCGGCTCGGCTCCGCCGCGGCTTCATTTATTGAAAAACGCGGTTTTCTGATTTTTATTTATTTATTTGTTTTTAATCCCATGTCACCAAGGCGGGGGGGAAGGGGCCGCAAAGTTTCTTGGGCGAGCGGGGCCGGAGGAGCCGCCGGCAGCGCGGAGGGAGCGACCCCCGAAACAGCCGCGTGGCTCCAAAAAAAACGCCAAGTTGCCCCGGATCCCCCTCCTTTAGCTCTCGGGGAACTCCTGGTTCCGTCTTTTTTATCTCTTTTTCCTCTTCTCTCCMCCCCCCCCCTTTTTTTTTTTCATTATTCTCCAACACAGGCATTAAAAAAATATATAAGGCAGAAATCATCCTATTTTAACACATTTTTTTCCCCCCTGTTGCTCTGGAACACTGACCCCCCTCGCGCATCTTATTGCCGTTGAGCCAGCCGGAATCATCCCGGGAGCTTTTATTTGAAGGGAATGCTCCAAGTGAAGGCGCGCGGGCTGCTCCCTATTAAAAATGGCCAGCGCCGTCGCCTTCGCTCTGCTCCCAGCGCGCAGGGTCCGGCGCTCGCTTAGGTGCATCCGAATCGTGGGCTCTTTGCGGCAGGTTTTGCTTTTTTTTCCCCTCGTTTTCGGTCTGCTCTGTGCAGGATCAGCGTCTTTGTTCCGAGCCGTGAGACTTGTGGATGCTCCCGTAACGTAGAGAGTCCCCCGTGGAGCCGCAATTAGGGATATAGGTGTGCGCTGTGAATACCTGCGTCTTGTTATTAGGAGTGAATAAATACCTGTTAGAATAAATAATAATAATAAGAGAGAGGGTAAGGRTGTTGAATGTAAAGGGAAAGCTGCTTTTTGTGAAGAAACAGGGGGGAGAGGGGGTTGAGGTGTCTTAATTTAAGGATGGAGTGGAAAGGGCTGCCTTGCTGGATTAATAGTGGGAATGTTTGAGGTTGAATTTTGGGGAAGGGCAGGATCGGGGATAGCTCTCATGTTGGTGCCGCCTGGGTCATGATCACAGCGTGTCCCCTGGGCTGCCTCTGCTCTCCAGTGTTACCTGGAGCGCTTGGGATGGCATCGGGATACGGGAGCGCTGTAGGGGACAGCGGGGTAGGATTGTTTCTTAGGGGATGAGAGAGCCTGGTGGGAAATAGGGATTTGCTAGGGTTGATGGGGATATTCTGGAAGCGTATATGTGTGTGTGTGGGGGGTTAATGTTGAGGGAAATCCCTCCACGCTGAAATTCCCATCTTTTCGACTCGCTCCCCAGCACAGAGCTGCCTCTGGTTCCCGAATGCAAAGCGGGTGTCACGCAAAGTCAAGATCGTGTCGTCGAAGTACAACGTTTGGTTTTAAGACTAAGTTGTAAAACACCGCGTTTTATGGGAAACCGTAAAAATTGACGCTCTATTTTTTTTTTTTCTTTGCATTAAGTAGGAGAGAYGAGGCTGGGAGGAGGCAGGTGCCGCGAAGCTCGGCTGTTTGCTCCCCATGTTCCCCATGCACCCCATGGAGGGGCATGAGAAGGGCCCTGAGTAGGTGCTCCGAGATGTTCCATGTCCCCTGCCAGCAGAAGCAACTGGGGAGGACATCTTACAAAGGATTTAATGTGTTAGGTTTCTTGGTGGCCGCTCTGCACTGATGGTCCGGCTCTGCAAGCATTGGGGCGTAGGGCTGGCCTGCTTGTTCTCCTATGCTGTTCTGGGGGTAAAAAACTCAAATYGTGCCCCAGGGCTTCTCCTTACTCCCACCCCACCATGTCCTCCTTGCTGCAGCACGGGTTTCGGTCATGTCGCAGTAGGATGAGGGTTAATTTAGGGGGTTTATGGCCCAAGAGCCCCCAAACATTGAAGTTGAGGCTTTGCTCAACGGTTGCATTGCTGTTGGAGCRTATGAGGGTGTGCGGGAAGGGGCTGGATGAGGTAATGGGCCCTTGGCTGTGGTGCTGGTGCACTTGGACACGCAAGGTGGTCCACTCGGCAATCAAACAGCTTCAGCTCTGCTGAACGCCTCTGTTTTCCTGTTTTTGTGCCATTCCTGAGCCTGGTGGTGACGCTTCGTGTTCTCCATCCTTCCACCTYGAAACACATACAAAGGCTCTGGTCTGTATTTATTTAACGAGGGAATTTTTCCCTTCGCCGCAGGGAATAGAAGAGGGGGGAAAAAGTGTAAATTTTTTTTTCACTAGGAACAAATCTCATTTTCGAGAGTCCTGACAAAATGAGCCATAAAATTACAATATTTCAAAGTGCTTCGTAATTCTAGCRCAGACGGCTCTTCATCATGGAATCTGAAAGCTCAGAAAATATAAAACTCATTAGATTAAAATAAACCACCTACTGCGCGAAAGAAAAGCTTATTTATCAATATCAATTTACTTCTGATTACCCTGTTCTACCATTTGTTATTTTTAGGAATTATGATTTGTGTATTGCTCATGCCAATGTGTGGTAGTGGAGGAGAATTAACTTTTACTTTTTTCCMCCCCCTACCTGTTTTCAAAGTCTAACTTATTCTGAAGATTTAGTTTGGAGCCACCAGAAAGGAGGAATTTACAGCAGCACTTCCCACTTGGGAGTGGTGGTAGAAGACCTGGGTTAGGTGCATTGTGGAGGATGACCAAGGTGTAGAAGAAGACAACGTTGGTCTGATTGGGTTGAGCGCCCTGGGACCCATGTGCCCTGGGGATCCCAGCAGAAGGCACCTTTTGGGTGGTGATGGCCACATGCCCCATGGACTCCCACCTARTTTCTTGGGGCCTTTGTGAAGGAGCAGAGGGCTGGTGGCATCTCCATGTGCTGGCCCAACGTGAGCTCCAGAGATGGTGGTGGGCTGAGGAGGCAGGGACTTTATTTCTTGTTTCATTTGGTCCCCCTCCCCTTTCCATGGCGAGCGGTGCCTTGCGTGCRAGCCGTCGGGGAGGCACCGTGATTTACACTTTCATTTCTTCTTTATGCTCCTGGAACGGCGCAGAGCAAACAGGGACTGACACTATAAATCTGAGGCACAAATCTTGTGGCCGTGTTTGGGGACGAGACGCCTGGGTATATACGTGTGTGTTCAGGGGGAGAAAGTTCCTGGAGACATTACTATGCTGGAGGCTGCTCTGAAAGCCTCCTATGAAGAGCCTCTTTCAGGCACAAGGTACAATTTAATACTCTCTTAGCCACAATTTTAAAGTTCTCCCGGGAGGTTTTTTTTTTCTTTTTTTCCCCCAACCCTGCTCTGAAATCTGCGATATTTGAGTGAGCCGTCTCTGAGAATCAGTGAAGAGCTGCAGTATTAATGAAGACAGACAAAATCAAAACGATATTTTGGGCAATTACTTACATAATGAAGTGCCTGCCTTGGAATGCACAATATTTAGACTTATCGTAGCGCTCAAAAGGGATGCTGTCAACTGGCTTTATTTCTGCATCATGCCAAATGTTTTTTCCGCTCTTCTGTTGCTTGGAAAAGGAAGCTCCCCTTTCCCTTGGTGGCCTTCTCCCAGAGCAGTGGGAATATGAGGTTGTAGTGCCTCATTTTACCGCATCCTTTCAGATGGCCGCAGGAAGCGCTTGAGTCTGTGCAGGGTTGTGCCAAGTTTTCCATGGAAAACGGGCAGGTTGACATAGCGTGTGTGCAGTTAACCAGTGCTGACCCCAAATGTCACCTCACACTTCTGATGAACCTCCTAAAGATGCACGCAGAGTCATTTGCTCTTGCCTAGGCGGGCACCTTTTTTCTTCTAGAAGAACTTTGATGATAAAATACCTAGAGAAATTAGAATTTAAGGCCTTCTCTGCTGAGAAGGTGACAGAGTTGTTATGAACTATCTTCTCTGACAAATCCATCAGTAAAGATAAAATATGAGTAGCCGTTACCCCGAAGTRCCCGCCTGTTCCTGCAGAGACGAGACGTGGGGACTTTGCTCCTGCAAAGTCAAGCRAATGCAGCCGATTGCTGCAAAAACTGCTGCTTTTTCTTCTTCCTGTTGGGCCTGTGTGCCATGTGATATCTATATAATATAAACTCACCTACTGGATGGGGTGCTTAAGGTATTATGTGTGTGGATTTCCAGGTAGAGCGGGACTTTCGTGGGGTTTTGTGAGGTTCTTGGGTTGCTTCCGTAGCATCTTTACATTTAATCCTCTGAAGGCAACGTGAGGATGTGGCCATGTAAAGAGCTCCCTGTTGCATTTTTTTCCCCTTTATCATGAGAGGCCTCGTGCTGTATTAAATGCCAAATCTGCAAGAGATAACATTCATGAAGTGCTGGACTTGACRCTGAATTCCTCCTTCGACAGGAACCATGACGTCTCACGCTGCCGCCTTCCTGCTCTCTCTCTTGCTCTTGGACTTGGTCTCTTTGGGTAAGTAAAGCTTGGCCTATTCAGTGACCTTCCTCCCAAGCCTCAAGATGGGATGCCTGGACCAGCAGCCGGTGGTGTGTTAGGATAGACGGTGGTGAGATGTCCCCTTGCCATAGCTGGCTGGTGGTGGTGGTCTCCTGGATGGACACATTGCTCTATGGATATAGCCTGTGGATACAGCCTATGGACTAGGCTCTATGACAGGATGTCACCCTGTGGGGCCTCCATGGGTCGATGCTGGGTGGCCTTGGCTTGCGGCAACGTTGGCCTTGGCGGCACCGTCCGTGCTCTCCCCGCTCTCGCGGGCTCCCTTTCCAGCTGGCGCGAGCTTTCCCGGAGGGAGAAAGGGGAGGGAGAAGCTGGGTTTTGATGTCTCTGCGAGCTGTGCCAAGTGCAAGCACAGGGCAGCTGAGAAACCTGCTGGCTTCCACTTTCCAGCCTGCTTCCAATGATTTCTTGGATGGCCTCCATTCATCATCCTGTGTATCTCTTGACCTAGATTTTTTTGTACAATTCGGATGCGCTCCCTCCATCCCACGCATCCCTTCCTCACGCTGACAGGCCACCGGAGCGGTGGCAGCCCCTGTCGCAGATGGGCCCTGCTCCTTAGCCTGGGCTTTGCAGCCGCAAAGCCAAGTCCTGCCCCGGGGGCCCTGCTGCTTGCATCCTGCCCCGCCGCCGAGGTGCCGCTTGTCCTGGCTTGACACTAGATCCTGCGTGCGGGGAGATGGCTCTGGACGCGCCCCGGCACCTGGCACAGCTGCTCTGGGGAGGTGCAGGCTATTTTTAGGGCACTCGTAACGTTAATAAAATTGGTTTTGAAGTGCAGCAGTCTGCAGGAATGACTCCCCTCCAGGAGTGATGCYGTGTACCGGCAGAGGAGGAGCGAGCTTGCGATGGCACTGCTCCTGAGGCTGTGCTGCATGGGGCTCCATGCCTCTGTTAATGTAGGCTTCCAAAAGGCTCTTCCCTGCTCTGTTTCCRTAACCTGCAGGAGTGTAATCCATCCCCAGGCCCGTCCCCTGCCTCGCTCCGTAAGCTTATCACCTGGAGAGTGTCGAGGTGTCTTGTTTCCACCACCACTCTCGGCTTGCAGCGCGGTCGTGCATCGCTCTCCTGCACGCCTGTGCTCTCCAGGCTTTCCCGTTACGCTCGCCCCTCTGCCCCGAGCGGGTCTGGTCTTGAGCCAGGTGTCTGATGATCTCGTGAGAGTCACTAAACCATCAGGACCGGCACGCCAGCAAATCCCAAGAGGGGTCACCCGATGCTGGTGACAGAAGGGATGCGCTGAGGCCTTTGGGATGCACCAATGTGGTGCTGGGGAGGGCTGCGTGTGAGCTGTAATAAAGCGCTGCTCTTGTCCCCCTTGCAGGTTGGGGCAACCGGCTGCCCTACTTCATAAACTACTTCTTTGACACCTACCTGCTGATCAACGAGGACACCCCTGTGGGTAAGTGCTGCGTGTCCACGTGAGCAGCTGGCACTGCCAAACGGATGTTGGAAAAGATTAAAAAATGTATGTATGTGTAATTTCCCGTTGTGGCCTTCTCAATGAAGTGGTCAACTTCTTGCTGGGTCAACCTACYGCTGTGTCTTTTGGCTTGTGGTTTCAGGCTGCAAGCAGGACTGAGGGTCATGTGCCTCCTTTCCTGGCTAGCTTGGTGTGCAGGTTGAAGGCTGAGGGACTTCATCCCCCTTGTTTGGGGGCTTGTCCACACTCGGGGTCAGCATCCTTGGCAAGCTTAGCAGGTTTCTTTCTTGCATGGGTGTTTCTTGTTGAATTTCTCTGTATATCATGGGGTAAAGGCCATCTGGGGTGTTTGGCCTTCGTGCTGAGGGACGTGATTGTTGGTAAATAGATGGTGAGGCCTTTGGAGCTGGTGAGGTCTCCAGATGCACCTGGGAGAAAATAGGCTCTCCAGGTACAGGTCACGAGTAGAAGGGCTCTGAGAGCGCTTGTAGGAGGAAGGAAGATGGTCCTGATGTGTTTGCATTCGAGGCATGGTTAGGGCAGGTCACACTCAATGCCCCATGAGCACCACGCTTGGTGTGTCCTCTGTGTTGGCTGGGAATCCATGCGGTATCAAGGTGCAGTTTTACACCAGCATAGCGGTTCATGGCCAAGTCTCCAGGTTCAGAAGCTCGCATGAAAGAAGAGTGGGTGTCCTGAGGTTTGTCACCTTGCTTGAGCCTTTAAAGGGTTAACGCCACCAACTGGGACAAGGTGGTAGGAAAGGGAGATTGATGGAGCTGCTCARGAGGTTGCTCAGGTGGATTTCAGTTTGGCAAGAGCATCTCTCACAGTGTTGCCACGTTCTCCTCCGCTCCCCCTCTCCTTTTGCAGGTCCTGGAGCATGGAGCCACTTGAGCAGACTGCTAGAACATTGCTGTTTGGGACAGGGTCTTGATGAACCTGTGTGGGGATCTATTGGAGCCCCTGGAAAATATAAATCTTGGTGTTCTTTTGATTGACAGGTGTAGCTTATTTTTATTGCTTTATTTAGCTTGTGATCAGTTTTTAGTAAATGCAGAAATCGACCGGGTTGTTCTCGGCCTCTTTCCAGGCTCTCAGTCCATTAAACTTGTTCTCTTCAATCAGGGCTCGTGACTGGCTTTTAATGCTGAAGGAATTGATTGCGAGCCCCTGCTAGCAGGAGCGGGGGTCCGCTGGCCCTTAGCTGCCGTCCTATGGAGACCTCTTCTCCCCGGCTTCTCTCACCTCTGTGTACTGCCTCTTTCAACCGTGCACCAGCTTCCTCAGAAAGAGGTGTTCTTGCTGCACCAGAATTGTCCCTGGGACTCCCAATGGATGGAGGAGTCTGGAAGAGGCTCCTCTTGTGCCCGTTCATTGAAACCAGGTTTTTCAGTGATGGCAAAGAGGCTTCTGGGGAGTCCTCTTGGTTGGATCTGCCCCAGCCTACCGTGTCTCATTGGGGCAATGCTCAAAGAAAGGGGCACCAGAACATGGTCTGTATCTCGCTGGCTGTTTTTGGAAGGCCTTCTTTGAAAGAAAGCTAGAGCTGGTCAAACCCAGAGCAGCATCCTCAAGAAAGGGAGGAGAAATCCTCTGCATCCATGCAATTTTTCATAACCTCCTTTTGTGAGCCTGCCCTGTCCGGGTCATTTCACACCTGGCTTCTTTATTTCACTCGCTGCATGCTCTCTGCCTCTCGGTTGTTGGTGTCCTCTGCAAATATAATTAGTGATAAATTTGCCACGAAGAAGTCCCAGGACAAAAAGCAGCTGTGCAAATGTTGGAGGGAGAGCTGGCTGGAAGCAGCGTAATGGAAATGCTTCCTGACCAAGCACACAGCTTGTGAAATACTCGAGCTTGAAAAACCTTCTGGGAATTCGACTGAATTTCCATTTTGGTGGAAAGTGGGGGAAGATTTCTGACAGTCTACTTTCTGGTGAGCTATTGTGAGAATAAAACTGTTCTTGGAATTACTTTTGTTTTTATTTTTAACTTTGTATTACATTGTATGGAAATGAAATCCCCTCTTTTTAAGAATATTGGCGCCCTGGGAGTTTGGTTCCAGATGCCCCAAAGGGGACCGTCAGCCTTGAAATTGTTGACAAACAGCATTTTCTGTTCTTTCTGTTAGTGATAGATGTTCTCTGTGTTAGGTTTAATTAACTTAAGGCATCGCTGGGGACAGGAGAAGGGGGGAGGTGTTTCCAGGGGGGTATAAGCAGCAGAGGTGACACACACAATTCTATAAGAAGAAAAGAGTGGCTCCTTTTGGAGACCTGCTGTACCATTGCTGTCGCCTWGGCTAGAAGACCTGCAGAGCCTCCTGGACCTTGATGGATACAGTGATTGCAATGGGTTTAGGAAGACCCAAAAGTACTGCTTGGGGGTCCGCGTGCCTTTGTGCTGAGGAAGCTTGTGTGTAGCCCCACGGTTTGGGGACCGCATCTGTTCACCTTGACCTGGMGCATCAATGCAGGGTGCGAAATACAGCGTGGAGTGGGAGTTAGAGGTACTAATTTTTATTGAGAGGAGAGGTAGAGATGGGGTTTACCTGATCTCTGCAGCTCTGGGACCCATGCTGCATTTGGTTATCCCTATGCAGAGCAAATCCCTCCTTGGATTCCCTCTGGAAGCCGGACTGCCRCCTCACCTGGCGCCTGCCGAGCTCTCTGCCTAAAGAAACCTTAAGCAACAATTAAGAGATCGTTCCCCCTCTAATACTTACATGAGTAAATTAGTCTTGTCAGGAGCTATTAAGACGGAGAGCTTGGAATTCATTAGGCTGGATGGGGCTGCGGGAGCTGCTGGCGCTGCCACCGCTCGGGGCTGATTAAGCTCTCTGAAAACATCATCGATGCCCATCTGTTTCAGTTAGGCCCAGGGAGAGCAATTTTCAGGTGGACTGACCCTGTAGCTGGTTATTTCACCCAGGAGTAATGAAACRCGCAGGCGCAGGGATGGAGGGAGAAGAGGGGAGCGCGGCCGYGGGACAGGCTTGGGGAGCTGGAGCAGCCGGATGCTTTGGCACCCGGGGAAGATCCCCAGGGCCCCGGGATGCTCAAGCTGCTGCTGGAGATACCGTTATCTCTCTCGGTGTGGTTGAGCAGGGGCCGTCTCGGTTAAAGCCTCGTATGATGCCACAGCCGCAGGCGGCTGCTGGCACTTGTGGGGCCTGCTCTCCTCCACGGTGGCACTTGCTTAGTGCCATGCAGCAAGGGAAAAAGAGCCAGCTTTATTTATCTGGTTTTGCTTTGGATACTTCCTGCCCGATTAACTTGTTGCGGGACAGTGTGGGTCAGTTTGGGCCAATTAAACTCAGTCCTGTCTTCCCTGTAAACGTTCCTGGACAAGGGCCGCGGTGGCGCGAGTCCCGCGGGATGCACGTGCACTTAGCTGCATTGATCCGGCCTTTCACGGAGGATAATTCGGGATGAGTAAGCGAGCAGATTGAGATATTTCTGAAGACAAGGCGGGTTTTGCGAGCTCCGCTACGGGCCTGGCTGCGAGCGAGTGCGAATCCTCTCGTTTGGACAGCGAGGCTCTAGGGGCTTCATCTTCAGTGCTCGCTGAAAGCAATATCACCTCAAAGGACCATCTACTACCAATGAYGGGGTTTGCAGGCTTCATGGGGTAGAGAGCTGGCTAGTGATGAAGCGATTTGTTGAGATTCAGGTAGCTTTAGATGGTAAAGTATCGTTAGTGAATGATGCCACATCAGGCTAGGCATTTATTTATTGGAAGTATTGGGAAACTTGGGGGGGTTGCCCCTTCTCCTCAAAAAAAAAAAAAAAAAAAGAAAATCTGCATCATTAAATTAATTAATTAATCACTTCATCAGTCACTTAAACTTTCCTATCTGCTTTGCTAATAAGCAGTGGCATTAGTGCTCATATGGAAGAAGGGGAAGAGAGCGGGAAGAAGTTGTATTTGCAACGTGCACTAATTAATATGCCGTAGTAACCATGGTTTTGGTGATTTCCCACCAAACGAAGGCTCGATCCCGTCACCCTGCGTGTTGGAGYGTGAGCTCCCGGGCTCTGCCTGAGCCCTCTTAAAAGAAAGAGCAGAAATGTGTGTTTATGGTAATGTGGTGTGAGGTGACCTTGTCTGAGGTGACTTCAAAAGTCTAGGAATTAAGAATAGTGGACAGAAGAGAACTATTCCAGGGGAAAAAAATATATATATATATGTATATAGGCATATATATGTGGCATTCCTATGCCGCACACTGAGATTGCAATAATAGCACCWTATTGGATGGCAATAAAGGCACCATTTCCATATGGGAAATATCTATTGCAAAAATAACCTGACAGAGTGACCCTTTTGGTTTGGCTCTGGCTGTTGGTAGGTGTTCTGCCGTTCTGCTGTTTAAGGGGAAAAAGTTGGATATTTGTAAATCAACGCTACCTACTCGGAAGCACTGAGTAGGTAGACTTGATGTACCAATATCCTACTGTTTCCCTTTGCAAAACTCCCTTATTTCCATAGGGAAGCCAAGGGGGTTACAAGTGTGCCCAATTAAACCTTCTGGAGTGGCTAATCACACTGCATTGAYGGCGAGACCCGGGGAGATGTCCCCCGGGGACACAGAGCTGCATGGTGGTCACCTCGACCTTGGCRCGTTTGGCCTCCCTCCCCATGGCTTCCACCGCTGGCCGCCGTGCGCTGATGCTCCTCTTTGCATCGAATGCATTAACGTGCTTGATTGGCAGCGGGGCTTAATAAATCGGTTCCTCCTGTCGAGCCGCTCGCATCCGCTGAAGGCTTTTGAATTAGTCGTAGCCACTCGGGGGAGAAAGAGCGCGGCGGCGGCGGCGTTGGCCAACTCAATGAAAACATCTGTTCAATTTGCGGCCGTGGYCAAAAGAGTGAATAAGCTCCGTGTTCCCTCTCTTGAAGATTTATTAATATTGCCTTTTGCGCGAGGGGGAAAGATTTCAAACACTTGACATTTAATGGTTAGTAACTCAATT